AGAGAGAGAGAGAGAGAGAGAGAGAGAGAGAGAGAGAGAGAGGAAACCAGGTTACTCTGTAACGGAGAGAGAGATTGAGGCGGAAAGAGGAGGTTACCACAGCAACTCGGGGGACATCGCTGCAGCAGCCGAGGGGACACACAGGTAAGGTTACTGTGTGTGTCGGTACATGTGTCTGCATACGTTTGTTTTTATAAATGTGTTGGTGGATTGAGCAGTGCATTCTGGGAGGGGGGAAGAGAAGGAGGGGGGGGATCCTATTAGCAGAGTCCAGGAAAAGTAAGTGTGTGCTTATCAGTCACACACACACACACACAACTGCAGACTGACAGGATTTCGTCATGTCTTCGTACATGTGAGGATGTAATATTGTACTATTTTAGTTGCGTGGCTGTGAACTTTAAACTGAGTTCACAGTTCAACGTCTTTACGGCTTCACACCGTAAAAATGACCGATGAGTTGATTTATTACTAAACTAGTTTGATTATTGATCTGATGTTTAAGTTCATTTATTGATCACGAACTCCTGAAACAAGTTCTTTGTTTTTTAGTTTTTATTTATTTGCATATAAACCTAAAATACATGAAAGAGGTAAAGAAACAGACAACGTACTCACTCAGCAATAAGATATTTAATCACCTCACATGGTCTCTACTGTGATTAAAACGAACCTCTCTCAATGATCAGTAACAACAATAACTTCATGTAGAGATGTTGTCATGTCTGTAATGTGTCGGTCAATTCATGTCGCTGCGCTTTGTGTACCATTTGAAAAACCAAAACACTCGACATCTCATCCAACAATGTACACAACATATAAAATATAACAATGTCTAAAATCAAAATGTATCAATTAAGAAGAAAACCAAAACACAACATGCAGAAGAAAATAAATAAGATAACGAATAGAACAACCTATAATGACACGTGCCTACAATAGACTAAATATAGAATTATAATAATGTAAACATGGCCTCCCTTCCTCCTTGCATACCTGGAAGCTTTAAGTTTGACATGGAAGAAGAACTCGTGCTTGTGAACTCTGGTTCTGCGTTACGTGCATCCATCTACGTAAAGTGTACTGCGTGAACCTACTGTTACAGTTTGCCTCCCTATAAAACGTACTGTATGTGTGGACATTCTGGTGTCCCAGTGGACATTCTGTCAGCTGCTGATCAGCGAGTGGAGACGACGCTCATTGTCGTTTAGATTGAAATCAAACCTGAGGTTGTTTACAGCAGCTGGTGTTGAGTTTCTGTCTGTCTGAACTCTGTTCACTGTTAAACGTGTGAACCAGTGGATGGAGATTAATCAAGAGCACAGTTTTCAGCCGTAATAAGAAATCTTATTCATGTAGCAATTCACAAGCAATAAAGCAAGATAAGAGAGCCACGGTGCAACAGATATTTAATGATTTACCAACGTTTCTACACGACAGTCTTCTACCCTCAAGACGACTGTCATGTCGAAGTGTTGGTAAATTATTAAATATCTTTAACCCCCGCCCACCCCACCCCCCCCATCTAGACACCAAGGAGTCATAAAACACACAAGTCTTCGTATAAGACACGTCGTGCAATCTTCTCAAGAACTACATTAAAGTCACCAAGCTGTTTGACGCATATGTTAAAGCTGCAGTCTCTCTAGTGACCACCAGGGGGCGACTCCTCTGGTTGTATAGAAGTCTATGAGAAAATGACTCTACTTCTCTCTTGATTTATTACCTCAGTAAACATTGTAAACATGAGTTTATGGTCTCAATCTCCAGTTTCAAGTCTTCTTCAATACAGCATGATGCATCTGTCTTTGGTTTCTGATTGTAGCAGTGAACCAGTTTGTCTGAGAACACTAGTTGACCTTTATAGAGCAACATCCACAACGTTAATAGTAGGGTCAAAATAAAACTTTTGGTTAAACTTTAGAACATAAGGGTGCCGCCGTGGCTCATTGGGTAGAGAGGGTCGTCCGGCAACCGCAAGGTTAGCGGTTCGATCCTCGCCTGCTACGAGCCGAAGTGACCACAGCAGATGCAAAGCCGTGCATCAAAGCACACAACACTAACCTATGTGTTTTTGTTTTTTTTTCTTCTTGATGAAATGGGAAATGCAGTGTGTCATGAAAGAGTGTTGTGAGATCTTGAAGAACGTTAAGTTTAGAGATCATCTGTCCAGTTGTTTATGAATGTCTGTAGATTTTTTTTTTTTTGGGGATGTTAACTTTATCTCTGTCTCTGCTTCCTGTTGCAGGTTGAAGTGACGATGAGCAGATGGAGGACAGACCTGGTGGTCCAGTTCCACCTCTGACCTTCATCAAACAGTTTTGGACTTTACTGGGTACCAGGAAGCCAAGGGACCCTTCGCACAAATAGCGACGGTCCAAGGAAAAAAGGAAGTTCAGTGCAGTTAGGTGTCTAAGGTGCCACCATGTCCCAGGCAGGTAAAGTGCTCCACCTGTACGTTGAAGTGAGGTCTGTTGCCGAGGAGGAAAATGAAGTGCCTGGAGGAAGAGATGATGGGACTGCTCACCTGATGCTTCAGTGCCCAGACGTCCTCCCTCAATCTCAGAGAAGCTCCAGCCCCAACCGCCGTCAGAATCTTTCCCCAGTCTCTCATCACCAAACTGGGGTTGGAAGCCACTGCTTATCCCCCTCAAAGTCATCCTCCAGGCACTCTGTCAGCTTCCAACTCCAAAACCCTGATGCTACAGGGTGTCCCACCCAGTTCCACCGGCAGGATTTGTCGCATGACGGTATCAATCAATTGCTCCAGGTCCTTGCACCTGGAACAACTGGTCTAGGCCAGCATGGCTCATTGGGACGCACCTGTTCCTCTGACATGGATCCCTACCGGGCAAAGATGCTTATCTCCCCATCTTCTACATCTTCTGGGACAGTGACCATACCCTCCACACCTACCAGCAACCGCAGGTCCTACGAAGTCCCAGGGGTTGTGGGTGAGGAAGGGAAGACATCTGTGGTGACCTTTGGCTACATAGAGAAAGCTAACGTTCACAGCATGGGGGGCCGCTGTACCTCTGTGTGCCAAAGTGAGTTGAGCAATCCTCCTAACAGAATGGAGGGGCAGCGGCTCCGAAAGAGGTTGAGTGACCCAGTGTGGTGCAATGGGCAGCCAGGGCAAGGGGACCCTTACCACAATCACCCTTACACCTCCAGGAGTCCGACCCTACAAGGCTCGCCTTACCTGCAGAGGGCGAGCCCAGACCCAGTTGCCAGAGATGCCACCTACAGGGCCTTGGAGGAATTTGGATCCCCAGAACTTAGGCACAGATTTGCTGGGCACAACCCAGAGAATTACAGTCCAACCTTGCCACGGCACTACCAGTCCCCCCGCTGCCGGTCCTGGGGGGGGTCACCTGTCCTGCCCCGCAGCACCCTTACCCTGCCATCAAAGGCCCTGCTGGACAGGGGAGTCTGCCGTAGTTCAGTGAATGGACTACCCAGAAGTCCTGCCTCCGACCACCTGTGTTCTCACAGTGGGTACTGCTCCCACTCAGTAGCTCAAACCTCACCTCTTGGCTCTCGTGGCCCTCCCCAGAGCCAGCAGAGATCATGGGTGGGGGAAGAGAGCCCCAGGTTGTCCAGCAAATTTCACCCACCGTTACCCGCGGGGAGACCCACAGACATCCAGCATGAGATCCCAACTAGCATATTCCACACCAGCAACCATTCCAGGACTGGCTATCAAGCTAGTGGGAACCCCAAACACAGTGTTGGTAGTAGCTATTGTACCAACATCAATGCTAATCATAATGCTACACACAGTACACACTACAGCACTAGTGATAACGTATCCATCAAGACTCACTACAAACCGTCAAGCTGCAGTAGCAGAGCCAGTGACACAGTCAGCCCAACCAATGGCAGGAGAAGCATCTCCCCATCCTTCAATTCTGAAGTGGCTTGTAAGTTAGAGGTGGAAGCTACCAAGCTGTCCAATATTTTAGCTGAGAGGCGGACTCCCTCTCCAACATATTCTCAAGCTGAGTCACTGAGGTCAGAGAGTCCCAAGATGTCATTCCTGAGCGAATCCCAACCGTATGCCACTATTCATGAGCGAAATTCCCCTGAGACTCTGCGGGCCGACAACCAGAACCTCAGATGGAAGACAGACAAAGCAACGCCTCAAACCAGACCAGGACGCGTCTCACCGCTCTTATCCCAGAAAGGCCCGTCTTCGCCAGCATCTTCAGCCTTGCCGGCTAGGTTGCACTGTGCAGCCACTTCTCAATCACCAGTCTTGGACCCACGGTATCAACGTGGTTCATCGCCCTCTAAGGACGTGTCTGCCCTGCACCACTACCAGCTGCCACAGTACACTGGAGACCACAAACCGCCCAGCATGGAGCGGAAGCAGTATGATCACCTCTTTGACAGATCTCTGAAGGAAAGCCCTGAACTCTCAAGGAGACTTCTCTCAGAAGCGTTCCCCGTGAGCTGGTCGGACGCTGGACCGGTCCAGGATGGGGACGAACTCTGTGAAGACGACTGCAGACAGTCGGACTCTAGAGTGTACATTCCAAGCAAAGAGGAACATCGCAGGAAGGTTGGAAGAGACGAAGGAATGGAGGCATCGGTGCAGGAGTGTCAAGCGCCAGTTACAAGTGTGTCCAAGGACGAGAGGGAGGAGGTTCAGGATCACAGCGGGGCTGCTGGGATTGCCTCTCAAAGCTCCAGTGGGGTTACGGGCAGCATGGGAGACTCCCAGATGGACAGAAACGACAGTCTGTCCCCCGAAACCTCGAGCCAGTCCAGCCATGACACGGCAGACACCGGCTCAGGGATACAGGTCGGCTGGGTGGGGGGTGGGGGGGGGGGGGGGGATGGTTGTTGTGTGAGGAGGTAATCATGTAGATTATGTGGATGTTTTGGATCTGTGAGGAGGGTGAGGTTGTCTGTTGCTGAGTCTTCCCATCACATTGTGACTTATTGACACAATTACCTTAACAATAAATATATAATATAGTTCTTCCTTCACCAGTGAGTTACTTTCTGTTCTCAGTGTGTTTCCTTATGGAGGGATTCCATCATCAGCCTCATCATTACAACAAACAGTATCTTCTTAGCATTTAACATCTCCCATGAGGCTTGGGCCATTCTGGGTCTTAGACTAATGGGAAATATTGTTTAATGGTGACAAAAGTTTGTTTCTTTTCAGTTTTAAGATTGTGAGATGCACCATTTTTCTTTTTTTTGGGCAAATTAGTAATTGTAATTGTGACAATATCACTATTGTATGATTCTAAAGTGTCTTAACGGAGTTCTGATGCTGTTTTGAAATCTTCTTGAACCCTGTTAAGTCACTGGTGTACCCTGCGTTCCTGTGGAGCTGGGAGGCTTTAAAAATGAATTCACATTAAGTTCTAATTCCCCTTTTCAAATGAAAACTGCTACTAATACTACTGGAAGTATTCATTTGGTTTAGGTTGTTACCAACCTAGAGGTTGCCAAACATGTGCATTAATAACTATAACTTGTATGGTATTTCTGTGTGAAACGCATCATTTCAATATACTGCTGTCGTTTCTCTTCACGCAGTCGGACGGCGGCTCGTCGACGACTCCGTCCTCGCGGTCGCAGAAGATCGCCAGAGCCAAGTGGGAGTTCCTGTTTGGAGGTCAGACGGAGGAGAGTCTCTGCAGTAAAGGTTATTTATATTCACTTATTCACTTATTTATTGTTATCAATGTTTACATTTTGCTAGCAAAAATAAAAATAGACCATATCGTTCTGAGCAAAGTGAGGATAGAAACAAAGCTGTAACGGAAGTCACAATTATAGATATTACATTATATTTGGTGTTCAATTATTTAATTAAGCCAAGAGATCCTCAGTGTTACTATCAGCAGTAGTCAGTAGTATTAGTAGTATATCAGTAGATGTCAGTGTTACTATCAGCAGTAAGCAATACCAGGTCTCTCTTGTATTGTGTCTCTGCTCAGTGAAGTAAACAAGCAGCTTCATTAGCTTCCAGTCTTCTTCTAAGCCAATTAGCTGAAGCTTAATACAGCTGAACAGGTCTTAGTATGTGCAACACTACTCACAAGTATTACTACACTACATCCACTTTCTGTTCTTCACTAGCGTCTATTTAAAAACGCTTCTGGTTCACCAGCGTCATCGACCTTAATGTCTGCTTGCTTTGGTCTCATTGTACCATGATTTCTGTCTTGATTCATCCTGTAAATCTAAGCTACCACTACGACATATAACTAACCACACAGTTATCATCACCCTAACCTTTAGTTTCAATTTGCTAAAATTGTTAATTTATTTATTTTTTCACCAAAGGCTCAAATTAGCATATGACAGGAGCGAGAAATGAAGTGAACTCCCTGTTTGAACTGTTCCACAGCAAGAAACCCAGCAGAGAACGATCATTTCACAGAATACATTATTTATGTAAATGTTTGAAGAGCTACAATCCAAGACATAATCCAGAACATCTTTTCTTCCTCCGAAGCAAAATCTAATCTAAAGGCAAAATAATAAAATATTTAGCATTTTCTTTCTCCCAAGGTGTGAATGTAGAAAGTTTTTGTCATACAGATATACTCAGAGATTTGATATTTCAAGGTGTGTGTGTATGTATGTATGTATGTATGTATGTATGTACAAACAAACGTATCATCTGCATAGAAATATATCTTCACTAGACTGGCTGTTCCTGCTAATAATGTGTGTAAAAATAGATACGGAACACGTTCTAATGCAGAACCTTTTGGTACATCTTCAGGACAGACATAAAACATAGAAATCAACACACTTCTTTCCTCCTGCAGACGCTCCGTCCACGACGCCTCCAGCCAGCGGTTCGCCAAGCCCCACTCCTCCCTCCTCCCTCCGTCTGAAACCAGCCAATCAGAGGAGGGGGCGGGGCAGCAAGGGTCCGAGGTTGTCGCATCACGCGGTGCGGCAGATCGAGGTGGAGCTGGTGACCCCCGACCCCAGAGGCTCCACCCCCAGGACGGGCATCATCCGCCGGACCGTCCAGTACTCCGAGACGGATCTGGACTCCGTGCCACTGCGGTGCTACAGGGAGACCGACCTGGACGAGGTGGTCTGAATTCACCTGATCCGGTTCATCTAGAATGACGTCATGTTCTCGTTTGATAAATATTGATCATTGTTGTGTAGGTGATGCGGGCGGAGGCTGAGGCGGCCGAGGAGGCAGACTCGGCCTTTGGGAGTAACCGCAGCGTCCTGGGAAACTCCAGCTTCAGCCCGGCCGACACCTCCCCGAAACCCCGGACAGGTGGCGTGAAGAAGAGGGGAGAAGAAGAGGAGGAGGAGGAAGCAGTGGTGAGCTGGGCCAGTGTCCGGATGCTGGGAGATCAACAGAGACAAAGAGCCGACGAGGACGAGGTGTTCAGTCTGCTGCTGAAGGGGTGAGAGATCCACCAGGAACTGTCCCCCACCTCAATGACCCTCCAATAATAATCATGCTCTAAGGTCTGAAACTACAGTTCCCATAATGCTCCAGAAAACAGGAAGTGTAATGTTTCCATGGATTCCATTGGAGTCCATTGCTGTGGACTACAACTTTGTTTTGTGTGATGATAACCTGATTTTTTTTTTTTTTTGTCGTTAAATTACCAGCGACCATCGGTCACTGAGGTTTTGAAAGTAGTTTGATACCTTCCTGTTAATGATCCGGTTAAATCAGCTGTTGTCCATTTAAATCACGTCTCACATTTATTCTTTTATTTGAGGTCCATTGATCACCATCATGTAGCTTCATCTTTACTGGATTAATGTCTGTTCCACTCCACGTCGTCTCACATCTGTGTTTCCTGAAAGAGTCCGTTGTAATAGCAGCGGAGAAAACAGCTGATATTTGTCAATCGGATCAGGAGGATTCGTATAAATGTGTTGGCCCACATGCAGCATGGGATGCACCAATACAGATACCGGACTCCAAACAGCTGGACCATGGGGCCTTCTATGTTTATATACTATTATATACTGGAAATCGTATCGGTGCATTCCTACATGCAGCCCAGAGAAAGCTGGTGATTTCACAGCCCTACCAACAAATCTAGTCTTGTTCTTCAGGAGAAACGTTAGGCTGGAATGTTTGATGTCGCTCACCTGCTACGTCTGGATGTTGGACCCTTTAGAGTCACAAATGAGGCCTCACTGTTGTGATCTAAGTCTGATTCTTTCACGGTGCTGACCCACTTCCTGTTGAGCTGCTGACCAGATTCACTCGTGTAGTTCAGCTCGATCCCTGGAGGACGTGTTGGTTAATAGGATTACAATGTACCCGCGTGCCTGATGGGTTTTTAACGTTTTCTTTTTCCCCTTCAGGTCATTGGCGGCGTGCGACTCGCACGGCGGCCTCAAGTCTCCGATCTCCATCGGCAGCCCCCGACGACCCTCCGAGAGCAACCTGGACTCCTTCAGCCGCCACTTTGAAAGCATCATGGAGTCTCACCGGGCCAAAGGCACCTCGTACAGCAGCCTGGACAGCGTGGACCTCCTGACCTCTGGATCCACGTCGGTGTTCACCTTCGACCTGCCCACCCTCACCCCTGAGATCCAGGTAGGTCGAGCGAAGCTGACGGTGATCGTGTCAACGTCGTCCCGTACGACCGCAGGAGGTAACGCTGATGTGTCTGTGCCGTTCAGAGTCAGATCTGCGACAGCGCCAAGCAGATCATCGAGCTGAGCTTCGCCCCGCTGGTCCGTCCGGACCCGTCCGCCCCGTCGGAGACGTCTCGCTCCGAAATCGCACTCAGTGACTTGGGGGCGGGGCTTCGAGGCTGCTCCAAAGACGACCCTGGCTCTCCGGTTCGATCCAAGTCGGAGAAAGAGTCGTGGCGTCGGTCCATCCTCAAAGACGGCTTCCGCAAGGCGAACTCGGCCCCCTCGCTCCACAGCAGCCCCAGGTGAGTCACGGCTGATGGTGCAGGTCCAGACTGAGGACAGGAAGTCTCCACTTCCTGTCTCCATCCTGGGAAGTGTGACGCTAACGTTAGCTCAGCTTAGCTGACGCTGACGCTGCACAAATAGTAGATGATGCCACTGACAGGAGACCAAATGAAACGCACCGTTACCTTGATTGTAATTACAGATTTCTCTGTTTGAACATTGTTGAAACATTTGTGATAACATAAGAACACAACTCAACAACGTATACAACACAGGTAGTTGTTTTTAGACACTTTAATGAAGAAAAGTTATATATTCAACCTTTCAAATCTGCAAACTGATGACTGCATGTAAAATGTATTATAAATGTACTAGAAATAAAAACAATAGAATCTACCTGCTGCAGTAACACGGATCAGCCACACGGTGACACCAGAGAGACGTGAAGTGGTTACTGTTGGTGTTCACTTGTCTATCTTTGTGAGGACCAGTTTGAGTTTTAGACCTCGAGAGTAGGAGGACATTTAGGGAAGTGAGGACTCTTTAGTTGGTCCTCAGAGTCTCTTTAAGTGTTTGGAGAGTGAGGATGTTTTTAAGAGACGTTTTTGTCTTTAAATCTTGAAAAGGTTGTGTGATGTTTAAAACAAGGAATGCAGTATGTCAATGAGTCCTCATAAGTATTGAAGAACAAACGTGTGCGTTTACATGCATGTGTGTGGGGATTTAATGGGACACATGAGTTTAATTATAGAGTGTCTGACGCACACACACACACACAAGAGGGCGACACTGAGCTGTTTCTGAGGAGCTGAAGTCCATTCACTTTTTTCATACCTGTCATACCTGGTCCTTCCTGTCCAGTCTTTGTTGTAGCGATGTCATACCTGGTCCTTCCTGTCCAGTCTTTGTTGTAGCGATGTCATACCTGGACCTTCCTGTCCAGTCTTTGTTGTAGCGATGTCATACCTGGTCCTTCCTGTCCAGTCTTTGTTGTAGCGATGAATGTAGTGAAAATAGAAATGATCAAGTACAAGTACCTCACACTTGTACTCAAGTAGAGTACTTGAGTACTCTAGGTTCCTCTGGTCTGTGTTTGGTGATCAGTTCTGGCTCCACATCCTCCTCCAGCTCCACATGATCTACTTTCACATAGAACCGAACCACAGAGCCTGTAAAGTCTGCATTTAACAATGCGTCAGCATCTAATTGTTCCCTCCACGTCTTTATGTCCGTTCACCTCAGGACACCGTTGTAATGTCCCTCTTGTTTCAGCCTCAGACATTCACAGAGGAGACCTTTTCTTCTTTTTCTTTTAGTCTCTTGGAAACGTCTGTAGGTTTTGTACCTCTGAGATGTAAAAGTATTGAGTAGCAGAAAAGGGAAATACTCAAGTAAAGTATAAGTACAAAACTTGGCTAAATGTACTTGTTAAATTCCGTTATATTTTATTAGTCATATGTAGTCTGTGTAATGTAATGTAATGTGTCGGGTCAGCACTAGCGACGAGTACATACAACAGTATTTAACATAGAATAAGTTGATAGTAGATACTTATTCCTTTTTTTTGTCTCTTTTGTAACTTTTTCAATACTTACAAACATAATGTCCCCAAGTTTTATCAATGAAAAATATGCTGACTCATTTGGCTGAGAGTCACCAGTTAGCACTAAGTCACTGTGATTTATGACCAAAGTTAACGAAACATTTCACTTTTACGCTTCCAACAACAGTCGTCATCCACAAATCCCCACAAAGAGTCTAACACCTGAATCAGTCCACTGCGTCTCCTACTGACCACCCTGTTGGTCTATCTATTCAAAGAGAAATGTTATGCCTGAGGGTCTGGTGGTCTGAAGGTCTCGTAGTTTGATGGCCTGGTGGTTTGGTGGTCTGTTGGTCTGAGGGTCTGGTGTCCTGATGGGCTCAAGGGTTCTGTGGGCGGAACAGTTCCCGTTCCAGACCTCCATCCAGCTCCCCAGGTTGAACCTGTAGAAGTTAGTCAGGATGCCGACGTTCCTTCCAAACGTCCTCCGTCTTCTCAGAAAGTAGAGCTGCTGACGATCTTTGTGTGACCACATACACACACACATACACACGCACAAAATTCTAATTCAAACACAAACTTTATTGTTTTAGCAGAAAACAAACCTCAGGGAAAGTTTCATGAAAGCAAAACCGAAAAATCGAACTTGATCAACAGCTTCTTCTCCTTCAGCGGAAAGAGACTCCTCCCAACACACACACACACACACACACACACACACACAC